TGAGACTAGAGAGACCTGAGGAAGCAGCTTCCCTGGGGCAATCTGGTCTCACTGGAACTGACACAGTAGCTCTGCACTGAGACTGGGGCTGTTGGGATTAAACCTGACAGCCCTGCTGTCCACGTGGAGCTGCTGTCAGTTTCACTGAGACCAGAGCCCCGCAGGGAAGCTGCTTCCCCAGGTCTCACTAGTCTCGCTGAAACTGACCTAGCAGTTCCATACTGCCACAGACCAGGTAGCTGCCCAGCTCCCTATATGTATGGGGGGGAGGTGGGAAGGGATTTACCTGACTAGCTTGCTGCTCTATGGGAGACCTGGGCTTTGTAAGGTTGCCAACTCTGACTGAAGGTATTCTGGGAGATTTTTTTCCCACAACATGATGTAATGTGGTTGATAGCGGAACCGATAGAGATTTTTGATAGTGGTACACCGATAGAGATTTTTTGGGCCAATACCAGTGGCCAATTTTTAAGGGGCCATATTGGCTGATACTGATTCGATTGCTGATATGCAGCTGGGCAGCTTGGAGAGCAGCATTCAGCTGGTAAGTCTGTTGGGGCAGGGGTGCAGATCAAGACCCCTGTGGTGAGGGAGAGAGTGTGGCTGGGGCAGAGGTAGGGGCAGGCACTGCACAGCTGAGGCAGAGTGCAAGACAGAGCAGCAAGCAGCTCATCCTGGGGGTGCAGGGAGTAGCAACTCCTACCATTATGCGCACCCCGGGAGGGCATGGGGGGTATATGCCCCCAGATCTATGCATGAGGGCTGTTGCTGTGGGATGGGGCTGGGGTGGTGCTGAGCTCTTTGTGGCGGGGGGCGGGGCTGTGCTTGGGGGTGGTGGTGGTGCTAGAACAGAGGGTTTGGGGAGGCTATAGCAAATTTTAGGGGCCCCAGCCTGCAGCAGTAGCCTGCCCTTGGCCTGCACACAGAGGAGCACACACCCCTCCTGTCTTCCTGGGGTGCATGCAGCAGCAAAAGCCGCCACCCCCTCCCTGTGTCCACCAGACAAGCTGTTCATGGCTCAGTCCCATGCCCCATGTGGCTGGGCAGTGCCTGCCCCAGCCCCATGCCCTCCCTCACCACTGAGGCATCAACCTGCCCCCTCCACACTCCACACCCCTTCCCTCACAATAGACTTATCAGCCAGACCCAGGTGCTCTCCATATTGCTGGGCTGCGCTCCTGGCCACCTGCATGCTGTGCTACAGCTGTGCACATGCATGGGGCATTTATCGGTGACATTATCTGTCACATCAGCCAAAAAAAGCTGATTGCCAATACTGTCAATTTTCCTTATATTGGTGCCGATCTGATATGGGAATGATGTATTATGCACCTCTGCTCATTAATTGTACTGTTCAACCCATTCACAATATCAGTCTCCTGGATTCCTTTCAATAGTCACCAGGAGATTGATGCCAATTCCGGTAGGCTCCCAGCCAATCCAGGAGGGTTGGTAACCCTAGGGCTCTACTCCAGCTGGGCAGGGTGTCCCTGGCTCCATACAGGAGTAGGGGGGGGTTTCCTCTTCCCCCCCTATACTTGCCACGGTCCTGGAGTCACTCCCTCTGGCTGGTGGGAGCAGCAAACTGGTCCTTCACCCAATAGATAAAGGGAGCCAGGGGTACCCTGCCCAGCCACAGACAGCCTGGTTTTCCTGGGCTGCAGCAAGCAGGGGGTGGGAGGGGATTCCCTCTGTGCTTGAATAAAATGGGTAGATTATTGATTTGAGTCTTTCTTCTCCAATTTGTTGAAGCTAGCCTTTTTCTTTCCTTTATTTTTCTTACAGATAGTCAAAGTGAAAAAACTCATATTATGTTGAGTAGAATAATTATATTGAGTAGACATTAGTTTATTACATAAAATGTCATTTTATCTTGAGTTAAATATTTTTTTTGTTTTCCCAAAAGAAGAATAAAAACAAAAACAAACAAAAAGCTTTGAGCCCTTCCTCATCCCCTGTAAACAAAGCAGTTTAATCCAAACCAACTTTTAGGGGCTTTTTGTCGATTTTTGCTTAATGGCTGAAACAAACACAACCATAAAAGAATCATTTAAATCTGGGGTTATGATTTAGAGACAATACTGAACACTTTTTGGACGTACAAAAACATCAAGGTATGTCTTTAGAACATGCGATAAAATGAAGTAGTTAGTTGTTGTTTTTTTCATGTTTTATAGATTTTTTTTTTTTTTTATTTATATAGAAATCTGGGCAGGGAGATGCACATTTTGAAACCTGAGTTTAAGGTATTTGATTTTGCAAACTTAAAATAGATTCTCAGAATGCAGTGGTGTTTTATGGGCAGAGCCATACATGTGATCACAATAAAGGTCATTTCAGTGTTCTGTATGTGGCATTTGATTCTGTATTTTCTGATAGCTTGTTTTCTCTTAACCTGCTAATGCAATCTCTTGTGCACAGCTTGGCTGGACTTCCCTGACAAATGGAGTGCTGCTCTAATAGATTTGGTTACTGGCCAAGAACTCAGGAGACTGAGATTCAATTCTTGACTTAGTTACTGACTTCCTGTGCTGATAGTCCCCAAATGTAAAATTAGGGATACCATTTCCCTAATTCACATGAGCACTGAGGACATTTAATATGTAGTAATTAAACCAATGTTAACCACCCTGTGGCTTATAGGCAACACTGCCTGGAAGGCTGTATCTGCAAGTCCAGTCCCTTTCTCCTGGGACAGTGTGTGCAGAAGAATTTTGTTACTGATTCTTTTGGTATACACTATGTAAATTGTAAATGAAATGGTTTTATACTACTTTACTAGATTTTTTCTGGTAAAGGGCAGAGTATTTTATCATTTCTCCTCACATTCAGTAATATATGAACAGATACCTTCACAAGTGTATTTTTTTTTTTTATATTCCATTGTCATTTTTCCACCTTCTCTTACTGCATGACAAGTAAGTGGTACTAGTTTCTTTAAGACCGTTTAAGTATCAACTACCATATACTAAGTGGATGTAAATAGCATAGCCTGCTGACACCAGGTAAGGGTTTAGCTCTTAATTTTTATATGTAGTTAGTTAGAAATTACCTAAATATCATATTCAATCATGCTATTTTTGTACTTTATGATGGTTCTCTGAATTCTCCACGTGTATCTAAGAAAGTTCAATACCCTGCATTTTTCATATATTCAAGTGTTGAATTTTATAGGTAAGCAGAAGGTATGGATTTTTAAAAGTTGTTAGGCATCTAAAGATGTAGATCGGGGTGTCCAACATGGCCTGGTGAGCTGTTTCATTTAGGCCTCCAGGCTACTGGTGTGCCAGGGAACTTGGTGGTATGGCTAGTGAAGGACAGGGCCATAGCCAGGTATTTTGATAATCAATGCAGGTCATGTGCAGAGCACCCCGCTACATGTTACTACATAACATCACCTCCATTTGATTTGGTGTCTCCCACTTGAGGGTGGTCAGTACTGGTGCACTTCTTGCACCATCTTTGCTATGATACTGGCAGTGGGTCTGATCCGCTGCAGAATCCAGGGACCTTTGGCTTGTGGACATAACCCTCAGCAGCAGAGGGGTGGGTGAGGGCTATATTGCATTGCCTTCACTCATCCTCCAGTTGCTTAACCCACTGATGTTTGTGTTGCTTCTGCCTAAGCAAACACCCACCTGGCCCATGTCCACTTGCCCCACTCACCACTGCCAAGATCATTGCAGTGTGTGCCCTCTCTACCAGTATAGCCATTGCTACTGCCACCATATGTCCCAGGCTGGATCTGGGCCACAAGCATATTTTGGGTCTTTCTTGGGGCACAAGATGAGTTTGACACCCCTGATGTAAATAGATGCCAAGCTGAATTTTCAAAAATGCCTACATACTTAACTTTGAAATACCATATTTGCTCAAACTCAGGACAAGATTCTCCACCCCCCGCCCCATTAGCATGGGAACAAAGCCCATTGTCTTGCATTTGAATACAAAATGGAGTTGGGGTGGGGAAGTAGGGGGTGGAGCAGGCAGCTGCTATGGCTCTGACTAGGTCCCAAGCCTAGGCCAGGTCTGGGGTCAAAGACACAGCAGCCACCTGCTCTCCTTCTCCACCTGTCCCCACAGTCTCTCTCTCCTCCCCCTTCTTCTTCCTCCCTTTTGTCAGATGTGGCTCCAGCTCCATTCATGGAACATATGGAAAGTTCATCCCCTGCCCAGCCAGTTGGCAGCAGTGATGTGGCTATGTGGGTAGGGACCAAACTTCCATGTGCTCCATGACCTGGGAGTGAGTTAAGCCAGTGCTCTTCCCACTGCTTGGTGGTGGTGCTGGGAGGGCAGGTTGTGGGGGGCTACAGTAAATTATGGGGTGACAGCAGCCCTCATCCCATTGCCACAGCCTGCCCCAAGCACCAGGAAGAGCCTGATGTCACCAATGGCCCCAGCCTGTGGTGACTGCTGGCCCCAACCTGCAGCGGGATGAGAGCAGGCTGCTGCCAGCCCCAAGCACTGGGAAGAGCCGGGTGCCACTGCCAGCTCCAGCCTGCAGTGGCTGACTGCTCTCATCCTGCATACAGAGGCTGCAGAGCCCAGTTCAGTCCCCCAGCCTGCAGTCCTCTCAAGTGCAGGCAGCTGGTGTCTGCTGCTCCCAGGGCCCCTACAGCAGGGGAGAGTGGGGATAAGTGGAGCCCCAGGGGATTTGGGGTGTGGTGCAACCCTGAAGCAGGGGCTGGGGTGAGTGGGGCCCTTCCCCTCTCCTTACAGCCCTTTCCCCTCCCCTCACAGACTTACCTGCTTGGGGGAGGAGAGAGTGTGCCTATGCTGATCGCATAAGAGTGAATTTACCTACCATATCATGAATTTGGGGTATAAAAAGGATCATTGCATAAGAGCAAATTCGCATATATACAGAACCTGCATAAATCAAGGGAAACCTGTATATGATAAATGTAAAATACTCAAATGTTAGATGTGTGACCATGGGGGGATTAGCCCCGCTAAATGAATTTGAACCACCAAACTGTACTAACTGCATGTAACTACAGGTCCCAGAGACCGTGGGGGCTAGGAGACAAGACAGAAGAAGCAGGAGCAAAATGTGGGAACCAGCAGCAGATTACAGATGCAATAGCAGAGGGGAAACGTGTGGCCAGAGGTTCCAGAGATGTGACAGAGCCAGGATTGTTCGACTGTAACAGAAGGACATGGACATGTGGGCAACAACTGAGCGCTCTCAGGACTAGAGGCTGGTTTGGGACACCTCTGGAGATGTGGGAAGGTACAAGTTTCTTTGAGTGTCTGTACCTGAATACTAGTGCATGTTATTAGTTACTTGCTCGTGTGTGAATACACTACAGTGTTCCTTCTTGTTTTCTATTATTCAGCTTCTATGTGTATATCCTTTAACATTTATCTACTTGTATTTGCTCATTTTTCCCTAGCCCATTGGCTTGTGACCCTACTCCCCAGCATATTCTGTATAAAATTGGGAAACTCCCTTTTGGCTTCCTATGCCAATTCCTGGGGTTTCAGGGTTAACTACACTGTATCCAAAGTAAACTGAATAATAAGTTAAAATGTATACAACACAGGAAAATGTGCACAGTAGTGTTGCATTAAGTATTCACCTGTTGGTTAGAAGAGGGAACTGAAAATTCAGGACTTTGCTTGTTTTGTTGTGTGATCCTGAACAAATCACTTAAGATCTGTGCCTCAGTCTCCCTGTTTGATGGTAATGATGCCTACCATTGTTCATTTGTAAAAGAAAGTTCTGCAATATTATTCAGTAATAGTTGAAAGCACTTCCATATGCAGTGACACTAAACATTGATCCAACCCACCTCTCATTCAGGCCAGTGGTTAAAACTCTCATTACATTTAGGACCCTATTTTAAACCCTAGACTCCTGTTGAGTTGTACTTTCAGAGCTAGGTGCAGCTCAAGGTAAGAGGAGGTATAATCTCACCCATAAGGGGAACAAGATGACTGCTTTGGTTTACACTATTACAGTAGAATTAAACGAGGTTAGCTGGAGGATGAAGACCAAAGCCTGGAGGTAAGTGGGTGACCAGGAGGAAGTGGCAGCAGGGAAGGGCTTCTCATTCTTCCTGAGAAAGTGGGGCAATCTGCTAATTACCTCAGGTGTCTGTACACAAATGTGTGGATCCTGGGAAACAAGCAAGAAGAATCGGAAGTCCTTGCACAGTCATAAAACTATGACATGTTTGGAATAGCAGAGATTTGGTGGCATAGCTTGTATGACTGGAGTATTGCCATGGATGGCTATAAATAGGGCTCTACTGGATTCATGGAGAAAGTAGGCTGTGCTGTGGCTCCTTTAATCTTGCCGGTTTCCCTCATTCAACACCCCCCCCCCCCACACACACACACGCGCGCGCGCACACCGCTGACTGATGGAGGAGCCCTGCTTGCAGCTCCTGATTGGCAGAGAAGTGAAAACCATGGTTTAAAACTTGGCACTGTTTTTGCCTCCTTGCTGGTCAGCAGCAAGCAATGGGGCCACTGGGGCTTCTCAGGCAGTCAGCAATGGGGAGACAAAAATGGCGCCAAGTTTAAAAGAGTGGTTTTCCCTTCCCTACCAATCAGGAGTGAGCTGCAAGTGGGGCCCCTCCACCAATTAGCGGGGTGGGGGGGGGGGGGGAAGGGAACCTGCAACATTGAAGTAGCTGCAGCACAGCCCACTTCTGCTATGAATCAGGTAGTGTCCTAGATATAAACTGTCAGGAAGGGCGGGCAGGAGAGAAGAGGAGGAGGAGTTGCACTTTGTGTAAAAGAGCTGTGTGAATGCTCAGAGCTCCACTATGAAACTGGAGACAGGCCTGTTGAAAATCTCTGGGTTAAAGACGGAGGGGAGAGCAACAAGGGTGATGTTGTGGTAGGTGTCTGCTGTAGACCACGAGATCAGAAGGATGAGGTGGATGAGTTTTCTTCAAACAGCTAGCAGAAGTTTCCTGATCACAGGCCCTAATTCTCATGGGGGAATTTAATCACCCTGACATCTGCTGGGAGGGCAATACAGCAGTGCACAGACAATCCAGGAAGTTTTTGAAGAGTGTTGGGAACAACTTCTGAGTGCAAATGTTGGAGAGGTCAGCTAAGGGCCGTTGTTTTTGTGACCTGCTGCAAACAGGAAGAAATGGCAGGGAATGTAGCAGTGGATGGCAACTTAGGCAGCAGTGACCACAAGATGATTGAGTTCATGATCCTGAGGAAAAAAAGGAAGGAGAGCAGCCAGCAGAGTAAGGACCCCGGACTTCAGAAAAACAGACTTTGACTTGCTAAGGGAACTGATGGACAGGATCCCCTGGGAGGCCAGTTTGAGGGGGGAGGGAGTCCAGGAAAGCTGGTTGTATTTTAAAAAACACCTTACTAAGGGCACAGGAATGAACCAGCCCAATGTGCAGGAAGACTAGCAAGTATGGTAGAAGAACAGCGTGGCTTAGCAGGGAACTCTTCAGTAGCTAAAACAAAAAGGGAGCTTATAAGAAGTGGAAGCTTGGACAAACAACTAGGGAAGAGTATAACAGTATTTCTTGGGCATGCAGGGATGAAGTCAGGAAAGCCAAAGCACAACTGGAGTTGCAGCTAGCAAGGGATGTGAAGAGTAATAAGAAGAGTTTCTTTATGGATGTCAGTAATAAGAGGAAGATCAGGAAAAGTGTGGGTCCTTTACTGAATGGGGGAAGCAACCTAGTGACAGACGATGAAGAAAAGGCTGAAGTACTCAGTGCCTTTTTCACCTCAGTATTCACAGCTAAGATCAGCTCCCAGACTACTGCACCTGGCAGCACAGTTTGGGGAGGAGGTGAGCAGCCAACAGTGATGAAAGAACAGGTTAGGGGATTATTTAGAAAAGCTGGACTATATACAAATCCATGGGGCCAGGCACGATGCACTCAGGAGTGCTGAGGGATTTGACTGATGTGATGCAGAGCTGCTGGCCTTTATCTTGGAAAACTTGTGGTGATTGGGAAAGGTCTCAGATGACTGGAAAATAGGAAACATAGTGCCCATCTTTAAGAAAGGGAAAAAAGAGTATCCAGGGAGCTACAGATTGTCAGCCTCACCTCAGCCCCTGGAATGATTCAGGAGCATGTCTTCAAGGAATCTATTTCTAAGCACTTGGAGAAGAGGGTGATTAGGAACAGCATGGATTCATCAAGGGCAAATGATAGATACAGGAAGATCAGTGGAGGTGATATACTTTGAATTTAGCAAGGCTTTTCATAGTCTCCCACAACATTCTTGCAAGCAAGTGAAGGAAGTATGGTTTCGATGAATGGACTGTAAGGTAGATAGAAAATTGGCTGGAGTGCAAGGCTCAGAGGGTAGTAATCAATGGCTTGATGTCTAGTTGGCAGCCAGTATCAAGTGGAGTGCCCCAGGGGTCAGTCCTGGGCCTGTTTTTGTTCAATATCTTCATCAATGACTTGGAAGATGGGATGGAGCGCACCCTCAGCAAGTTTGCAGATGACACCAAGCTGGGGGGAGTAATAGATACACTGGAGTGTAGGGCTAGGATTCAGAGAGACCTCAACAAATTGGAGGATTAGATCAAAAGAAATCCATGAAGTTCAATAAGGACAAGTGCAGAGTCCTGCACTTAGGATGAAAGAATCCTAGGCACTGCTACAGCCTGGGGACCAACTGGCTAAGCAGCAGCTCTATGGAAAAGGACCTGGGGGTTACAGTGGGCAGTAAACTGAATATGAGCCAGCAATGTGTCCTTGTTGCCAAGAAGGCTAGCAGGTTACTGGGCTGCATTAGTGGGAGTGTTGCCAGCAGATTGAGGGAAGTGATTATTTCCTTCTATTCAGCACTGGTGAGGCCACAGCTGGAGTACTGTGTCCAGTTTTGCAGCCCCCTGCTCTCCCCCCACTACAGAAAGGATGTAGACAAATTGGAGAAAATGCAGTGGAGGGCAACGAAAAGGGTTAGGGGGCTTCTGAGGAGAAGCTGAAGGAACTGGAATTATTTAGTCTGGAGATGAGAAGACCAAGGAAAGATTTATTAGCAGCCTTCAACTACCTGAAGAGTGTTTCCAAAGAGAATAGAGCTAGACCAAGGGTAGGCAATTATTTCAGGTGGAGGGCCGCTTACCAAGTTTTGGCAAGCCATCAAGGGCTGCATGACAGGCAGCCAGGGCAGATAAATATTAATTTTCTAAATTTTGGGGGGGCTCCGCGGGCCAAATAGAATGGCCTGGAGGGCTGCATCTGGCCTGCGGGCCACATTTTGCTCACCACTGAGCTAGACCGTTCTCAGTGGCAGTGATGACAGAGCAAGGAGCAATGGTCTCAAGTTGCAGCAAGGGAAATTTAGGTTAGATATTAGGAGAAACTTTTTCATGAGGAGGGTAGTAAAGCACTGGAACAGGCTAGCCAAAGAGGTTCAGTAATCTTCATTGTTGGAGGTATTGAAGACCTTACTAGATACAGCCTTGTCTGGGATGATCTACTTGGAGATGGTCCTGCTTTGAGTAGGGGGTTGGACTAGATGTGACCTTCTGAGGTCCTTAATTTTCTATGATTCTATGACATTTTTGCCATTGATAAGAGCTGCATAATTTATATGCATAAAGAACCTGGAGATCCTTGGACAAGTATTATACTTGTGAATTTAGCAAATAAGTTGTTTTGCTTAAAGCAAAACTCTAAGATTCATTAGGGGAAATAGTATTTCTTTACATGAAAGAAACTTATTATGCAAACTTGTGTTTTATGTAATCATAGGTAAGGGATCTAGTGATGTATATATTCTTAAATGGGTGCCTTCAACCAATTTAAACTTCTCCTAAGATTGGATCTAAAGGCAAATATTATACAAGAGAAGCAACACAGCTAGTTATTATCATCAGTTTTGTCTCGTACAGGCAATTTGGGAAATTATACCTGGCAGAGAGGTTACTCTTCTTCATAAAAAGGACAGCTACAGAAGCCCATAGATATTAATTTTCTAGACAGATTATTTTCAGAGCTATCATTTTATTTATTATCTAAGGTAAAAGATGAAGCAATAACTAGAAGATGCCCAGGACTTGTAATAACTGCTTTCCAGCAATTAGTTGATGGTCTATAATCAAGTGCCTTCTGATATGAAAGATTTCACTTTACAAACAAAGGACCAATGCTGCTCGTATGCAGAATGATTTGCAAGATTTAACTCCAGTAGTGTGGTGTATATTTATTAGGGCTACGTGAAATTTCTCCAGGAGTTTCATTTCAAAATTGTTTCAATGTGTTTTGAGCTCAAAACAGTGAAATTGAAATGAAACAAAACAAGGGCACTCGAAACATTTCAAAAGTTTAAAAATGTTTCGAGTTTTAAAGCTAGGCTTACTTGGCTTTAGTGCCAGTCCCAGATGGTGGCAGCAGCAGCAGCCTTCTGTCATCTGGCACAGATCTGGGGGCTGCGCCCCCCCGGGAGGATTCTGACACTGCCTCCAGCCCTCCTGGGGGTGTGGGTTCCTGGATATGCATGCCAGATGACAGCATGCTGTCACTGCTGGCTGGGGCCAGCGGCAACACCAATCTTCCCAGTGCTAAGCATGGGCTGTACCCAGCGCTGGTCCCAGCTGGCAGCAGCAGCCTCCTGTGATTCAGCAGGCAGATTGGGGGCCT